CCTTCTGTGGCGACTCCTCTACTGCTTTACCCTTGCCTTTCCCCTTAGGCTCTGGAGATTTGTCTTTTGAGAACAGGGCAGTAGCAGGGTCCACTATTTTTAGTGGTCTGGCAGAGGTTGTCTTCTTTGGTTCCTCTTTCTTCTTCTCCCGCTCATGACGATCATGGTCATCACCTCCTTGATCATCATGGATTTTAGTGACTTCTGCCTTGCAAGTAGTAAAGGGAGCCTTCTTCAATCGCTTTAAAACTTTGGATGCCGCCCTCTCCATCTTCTGAATGACCTCCTCAGCAATCACAGAGGCAGTGTTGATATCCATCTCTGTGGCCCATTTCATCTTAGAGATGCAGTGATAGATCTCATTTATGAAGTTATCACCTTCTTTGACGAGTTTCTTCGTGCAGTCTCTTATTGCTTTGTTGCTTGCTCGGGCTTCCTTGAGGAGTTGGTCAGTGTATTTCTGCACGATCTCTCCAAGGGCCTCAACCATTGCATCTAGCTCTCTGCGAATGGCTAGATGGTTAATATTAGCCCTGGAGGATTTGGAGTCAATGCCATAAGTGACCGCAGAGGAGAACATCCCTTTGATCTCGTCCTTGAAGGCAGAATAATCTGTGTAGCCAGCAGAAATAAAGTCTGCAGCGAATTGGGCGGCAACCTCTGATAGTTCTGTCTTTAGCTTTTGGATTGAAGAAGGGTTGAGTGACAGGTCGCTGAATGCTTCTCCTAGATCACCTTTGTTGAGGACAGAGCTCTGAAGGGCTGAAACGGTCGCCTTAAGCTCAAAAGTTATGGAAGTCAACTCCTTCAGAGCCTCTGTGAGCGGTGCGAGAGTCTCTGTCGCCGATTGTGAGAAGAATAAGCTTTTCAACTCATCCATCCTCTTGAATACCTCTGTGGCGAAGGTTTTTAACTCCTTCTTCGTCACATAAGTACTCTAGGAACCTAGATCACCAACACATGGTGACCTAGTAGCCTCGTAGTGTGAGGCGCCCTTAGTGACTGGTTTTTCGATGTCAGCTCGGGGACTTTATCGGATCCTCAAACATCTCCAATTGGAGAGCCTACCAGTGTTCTGTCGATGTCGTGCCCAGTAGGTTCAGAGCCTAACTTGGCAGAGGGATCGA